AGTCAATTCCACTCATAGACCCTCAAGTGTGCAGAGTAGAACTGCTCCATAGGGTTTTCAAAGCTGTGACGTTTTAGAAGCATATTGCCAGGCCTTACTTCCAAGGAGCCTCTGGGTGGATTTAACCATCCAACCTTTTGGTTAGTAGTCCAGCACTTAACCATTTGTGCCATCGCCACGCGAGGACTCCTAGCTCTTGATTAAGTTAACAGTAAACCATAGTCATTCTCTAAGATCCATCTGTCTTCTGCATAAGCCAATCAGCCATCAAAGTCAGTAATTGTTATTAACTTAGCTTCACCTTCCTTTCCAATTGGAGTTTGCTGGATACAAACAGCAAGAGTGCATCGTGTTCTGCTCCACCAGAGGCAGTTGTTCCACTCCAGGACAAACTGCCTCAGTTTAGTTTTTCTCACGCGTAGTTGGGTAGGTCTGCGTAATTCTGGAGTTGGCCCACACACTAACCTATATCCTTCAGCTTAGCTGGTTTTCGTATCAACATGATATGCTGACTTCCATCTACACGTCTTTATTTTATTTTTCAATTTGGTGAAAATTTGTGCAGGAAAAAGGGCTACTAACTAATGGGCCTCTCAGAGCTCCCAATGTTTTTAAAAGTGTTTCTAAGCTGAAAGGCATAGCCATGAGAAAAGAAAAATGCAATAAACTAAACATATGAAGTGGAAAGGTTTATACTTAAACAAAAAACTGTAAATTTAAAAATAAATTTGCTATCTAAACTACTACTTAAATTTAATAGCATCAACTACTAAATGTAATATTTGTATCAACTCTTTAAAAGCCACTAAAAGATTTAATCATTTACTAAATATTTTAATATATAAGATGCTAGAATTAATGTTAAATAATTTTAAAGTTAATTAGTGGAAAGTCATGGTTGTTATTTCTCCTTAATGTGATTCATTTGATCATAGTCAGGCCAGATACATAGTAGAAGCATTTTCCTCAATAGTGTGTTAAAAATGTATTTGGCAATTTCATGCCTCTATCTGTATAGATAAAACTATGGCTAATGCTCACTAATGTAATTGTAATTATACCTAACAGTCAATTATAATTGATAATAACTATAATGAGCTATAACCATTGCTTTACAAATGAAAAATCCAATAGTAAAAGATCTTTCTCCTTCCATAAATAACACATACACAA